GAAGGTGCGCTACTACAGCTCATTAATGACATCCATGACACAACACGAAAGATCGCATCAAACTCGTGGTTTTACGCTACGAGTGATGAACAGGATAGTGTTTCTGAACGAAGAAATTGGACGGAGCGAATTAGCGAAGCTCTTTCCTATCTTACAACTCGAATGAGCAGAGAGGAAGAGGCAGAATTACGAGAAAGTCGGGCTCTCCCTAAACTTATACAACGGGCTGTAATACAGAAGTCCTCTTTCCAAGATGGGACTGTTGCAAATCTTGCTTCGGCAGTTGAAAGTTTTACACCTAGCGTAGTTCATATGGAAGACGACTTCACAGAGGAACAACAGGAGTGCGCGAAGTGAGTGCATAAGTACACTTATTTTAAATGCCATTTTTGTCTATATAGCAAAAAGACTAAGTGCAAGCGTTCTCGAATTTATAGTGGTGCCGCATCTGTCAACTATGCGGATGACGCAAGTGACTCCGCTTGTCTTGAAAATGATAATTATGCCGATATTGAAGAAGAAATCCAGTCCACAGCCGCAAAAGGTCCAAACGATGCCAACCATTCAGAGGAAGCGGAGCCATCCGGAGCCAAAAGTATTGTAAATATTTTTATCTATTGTTCTTAGCAAAGATATAGATCTTCAGATAAACTTTTACCGGATCATATGGACGAACCTCCAAAGAAACAAAAAAAGATCAAGTTGGAACAGGATGTAAAAATTGAAGAAACTGAACAAGAGTAAGGATTGCTTCTATCTTTTGCCTGATTCTGCAAGGCCCCTGTTTGCAGATACTTCACGAAGTCAACGCAGCATAATAGTGTCGCTCTAAAGGATCGTTTCAAAATCGCGGACCCTAAAACACTTGTTCGCAGTGAAGACGTGATATTTGCTCGTCGAAAACCCTTTGCTCGCCGACTTATCACGGAATACAAGTTCGAAAACTTCATTAAACCTGGGCTGCTTCATAAAGTATGCCTTAATTTGACATTTTTGTTTATATGGTTATAGTAATTGTGATTGGCTGATTTCACTTCATTCTCTTGACAGGGTCGGTATCCTCGATTGTACTATGAATCTGGAGATCAAGACAATAGAGCGGATAGTGTTTTTATCGGGATTCTTAGAAAGTCGACTGATATGGATAAAAAGTGCAACAAGGGATCTGACAGTTGTGCTACCGAAGTGGACGTCTATGATGAGTGGCTGGCTACTTTTGGAGGATTCCGCGTCCTTTTCGAAGAGTGAGCATACGCTTCTATCATACTGTACTTACTAATAACTATATTTCCAGAGAAAATGTTCAAGATGACGGTGATGGGGAAGACAACGGTCCGGAATTCCAAGGACGTGGTCTCTCCGATATTGAGATGGAAGGCACACAGTGTCATGACAGCAGCCACTGCGGTTTTGACGATTCTTCTGCTTCCTTCTTCTCAAACGGGATAAGCACAAGACGTGATCGTTTCAACGATATCCGTCCAGATGAGTACAAAGCAATAGGAATTGATGTTAAGGTTTATTTCCATTTCTTTTGTCATGTTTTTGATCTTGCATTAAGCGTGTGTAAGCTTATGAGTTTACATTGCAATTACGAATGTGAAACTGCAAGCGTAGAGCGAGGTAAGAAGCCTTTCAAACCGCGATGGTGACGGTGTGAGATGGTATGATGTTATGGTAATTATATAGAGCCCATACGCAATGTTCGCTTCCCTGTGAGCATCCAGTGTGAGGAATACAACAAATCAGAATGTTCTAAGCCGTCATTTGCTCAATTTTCTGCTTCAACGAGGTTTTCCCCATTACTTTGTAATTCTTTTAGAATATTGTGCCTAACAAAGACTTTTACTCCATGACAAAAGAAGAGCGTGCCGCCGCAGTTGCTGCCGAGTTTGAAGCCATTGATGCACTAGGACCCAAGAAGGAGGACGGTTATGTTATAAGTGTTAGTTTTTTTGGCTCTATTTCTTGAGACTTTTACTTAGCGCATATAATTCTGTGTAGATTATGGACTTCTCGTGCCGTGTAAGTTCCTATCATCTGAACACTGCAAGGATGAAGCGTGTGATGAAGTCAATCTTGTCCAATCCTCTGGTTAGTTGTATCCAGTGCTGCTGAGACCCTATACTCA